AAAAAAAAGGAAAAGAAGTTATATTAAATAATCATGTAACTCAGATCTTTTACCCCGTCGTGAAGATATTCAATGCCATGTGAAATGTCGAGCGCGATCTGGAGCCGATCTTCCCAACTCAAAACTTGTTCGCCATCTATATGCCACACATATTTTAACATATTTTTATTAGTCTAAAAAAATTGCAGAAAGAGTTAAGAAGATGGTTTACAGAATAAATAGAAGTGATCCGAAAAAAAAAAGTAAAAAATAAAAAATAAAAAATAAAATCAAACACATTTCTTCACTATTCAGAGGCTAGAACTACTAATAACTTCAAACACATTTTTCTTAAGTACGAACGAACATAACCTTAATAACAATAGCTCAAAAGCATCTTAACTTACAAACTTACTGTATAGAAAATTTTCCAGGCTTCCATTGCTCATGTACTCATAAACCAACATTCGTTGCCCTTTATCAACACAATATCCAACTAAATTCACCAAATTCCGATGATGCAGCCGAGCAAGCAAGGAAACCTGAAAGGAAGAAGGGGAAAAAAATATATCAAAAGACTAAAAGGTAATTAATATTATGTGTTCACATATAATGTATTATTGGTATAATAACTAAATTTCAATAAACAAATAGATAATAGTATATAGGCAAAAATGTATTTTTAGTCTTGTTCGTTAACGCCATAGCAATTTTAGTCCCATGGTTTCAACTTTTTGCCTTTTGGTCCTGTGACTTAATATTTTATTGCAATTTCAATACTCAAAAGACTGAAATTGTAGCAAGATATTTAATCACATGTCAAAAAGATGAAATGTTAGAATCTTAAGACTAAAATTGCCACGGCGTCAAACTAGCAGGACTAAACATGAAATTTAGCCTAGTATGTAATAACCAAAATCATCAGAAGTATCAAGAAATAACTATAATGCAGCATTCCATTTTCTTTAAACTGACCCATGTTTTGGATTTTTATATCTTTTCATATTGAAGTACTTCTTTCTCAAAAGATAATATATCAAGGAATTGAGTTTATATAGTGTTGATAACGCATAATACCATATCATATATTCACCGAGTATTGTTCATCTATTTAACGTGCAGAGCAATCTTAAACAAGCAAGGGCATTTATATAATTATACCTCCGTCTGAAACTCTTTCTCCCCTTGTTTCGAATTCGAAGCAAGAACTTTCACAGCAAACACCTCGCCAGCTGGCATGGTAGCTTTATACACGGGTCCAAACGAACCCTGTCCTAGAATAGCTGTGAAGTTCCCTGTCCCCTTCTGAATATCCCTGCATATGAACACACACACATTAACCTAAAAGAAACAAACTTTAGTAGAAAAAAAAAATGAAAATAAATAAAACGATCACATACTTGTAATTGTATCTCAAGATACCAGAAGCAGAAGCAGAAGTAAGCGGGTCTTTCCCGTGCTTGGTCCACCAAGAATTTCGAGGCTTTGGGTTAAGATAATACGATTCAGTCACATTCAAAGACTTAGAAAGAGAAGCACTCGAGTCGATGCTTGCATTCAGGCCGTTGGGGCGTATCGGGAGAGTGGCGGCCGAGCCATCGGTCGTGCACCGGCTGAGCCTCGTGCGTTTTCTGTACCAACAGATGGCGAGGAACACGATAGTTGCGGTGAGGACCCCCACAGCCAACCCGACCGAGATGCCGATAATGACGAGATCGGCCCTACGAACCATTCTTTGGTACTACTTTGTTAGTTGACCTGGAAATTAGGGACATCTTGAAGGAAACGTGTCGTGATCACTGTGATCAATCGTCAAACAACAAAAACCAAATTAATATTTTAATTAAATTAAAAAAAAAAAAAAAAGGAGATGCGCTTGGTAAGGGAAATGTATGTCAAAATACAAGCCACAAGCCAAGTTCAATCAACTTTACACAGTACTTGTAGCTCAATATACAAGTGGTATAGCTCATACTCAGAAAGGTTGCTAAATACACACACACACACACTCGTTTGCAGAACATAGATACGTAAATAGATACGGGTAAACAGCACAGATTCTGCCTCCATTATCATTACTGGACAAAGGAAATAACCATGGCTAAAATCAAACCCCCCCAAAAAAAAAATATATATATATATGAAAATAACCCGAAACTCAAAAGGCTGTCCTGTAGTTCAACAGAAACCAATACATCAATGCAATGATCTGAAAATAACATAAACAAACCAAACCCTGATCATCTTTTTTCCCAGAAAAACGAGTCGTTTCAAAGAAAATTCACAATAAGTAAACTACAACCAAAAGACACAGAAAATTTCATGAGTGTATCGAAAATCTGCTGCAGTTCAGCATATAAAATTAGGGAAATCTTGCAGGAAACTTGTCGCGATCACTGTAATCGTACACCAAAACCAGATTAAAAACATAACAAAAACAAGAAGCTTTCTGTAAGGAAAATATATTTATTCTATGTCAAGATTAAAGTGGTATTGCTCATACTCAGCAAGGGTTTTAAACCCACAGACACACACACACACACACACACACACACACAATCATTTGCAAAACATAAATTTACAGACAGATTCAGTAAGAAACAACATAGAAAGAGGGGTAAACCGTAAACAGCTCAGATTCCATCTCCATCAAATCATTAACTCGTCAACAACAACTACCAAAGCTAAAATCAACCCAAAACGACAATAACCCAAACCTCAAAAGGTTGTCCTGCGTATTCCGACAGAGACCCATAAAGAAAACATCATGGCACTGATCCGAAATTTAAACACGAAACAAACCAAACCCTGATCAGCTTTTCCGGCAAAACGAGCCATTTCAAGAAAACCCACGAAAATTACAACCAAAATATAAGAAATTTTCGGGCAGTGTATCGAAATTCAGCTGCAGTTCAAACCTAAGAACTTACCCATTAAAGGAAATTCAAGATCAGTTTACGGACTGGAAATTGGAACATCATTTGGGGGGTTGGTGGCTGGGTTTTAAAAGCCTTTAATAAAAGGTTTTAATTTTCGGTGAAACGCTTTTATGGAGATGGATTAGAAACAGATGATAGTTTAATTAAAAGGCAAAATATGATTTATAGGATTTTAGTAAGAGGAAAAATATCTTTGTTCTTTTTGGTTGGCAAAGATTTGAACTCAAATCCTGGCTTATTGACGAAGAGGGGTTAGCGCAGTGGTGCGTACTTTCGCTCAGCGTGTACCATGACTCGAGTTTGAGTTACTCAGAAGAGAATTGGTGAATCAATATTGATCCCTTTTAAAGGAAAAAAAAAAATCGTTGGCTTATTGCCATAACTCATAAATGTGATGGAGCTATGGTGGGTGGTGGTTTTATTCTAGTCGAGTTGAGTCGAGTTCATGCTTGTTTAATGAATAAATTGACTCGATTAATTTAATAAAATTGTAATTTTAAGCAAGTTATTTGAAAAATAGTTCAGTTCGAGTGATTTATTCTATAAAAAAAAATGTGCTTTTTGTGAGCAAAATTGACTAGACAAGCTCGATTAATTGTTGAGTTCGACTCATTTAAGTAGACGAACAAGCCTACATTTTAACAAATTGCATCGAGTTGTACTTGCGGACAGATCTATTCATTTAACAGTTTTTAGTAAGAGGAAAAATATCTTTGTTCTTTTTGGTTGGCAAAGATTTGAAGTCAAATCGGTGGCTTATTGTCGTAACTCATAAATGTGATGCAGCTATGGTGGGTGGTGGTTTTATTCTAGTCGAGTTGAGTCGAGTTCATGCTTGTTTAATAAATAAAGTGTCTCGTTTAATTTAATAAAGTTGTAATTTTAAGCAAGTTATTTGAAAAATAGTTAAGTTCGAGTGATTTATTCTATAAAAAAAATGTGCTTTTTGTGAGCAAAATTGACTAGACGAGCTCGATTAATTGTTGAGTTCGATTCATTTAAGTAGACGAACAAGCCTACATTTTAACAAATCGCATCGAGTTGTACTTGCGGACAACTCAATTCATTTAACGGTTTTTAGGTAGGTGGGTGATTGATGGTTTTTTTTTAATAATAAATATTCATAGTTAATATTATCTTTTAATTTCAAAAATATAATATATAATAAAAATTATAATTATAAATATAATTATTTAACAGTTATATTCGCCTAACAAGCATCCTAATTTTTTTTTTATAAGTATATATATACACTATTCATTCATTTTTTTCAATATCATCAATATTATTATAAAATAAAAATCAATCATTATTATTGATTTCTCTACATAGCTTTCATATTTCAAAATATCAATCACTATCAATCAGTTTTTTGTTATTTATAATAAAACTTTAATCATTATGTTTTATTATATATTCAATCACAATTTAAAAAACATTAAGCTCTTTTTTTTTTAAAGTAATTTTTCCTTCATTTTATTATTGAAAAATAAATAAATAAATCTATACACAATTCCCACTTTCAAACCTATTGATATAGCCTATAAATCGAGCTAAGTCAACTTGTTGTATTATGCAAATTTTGTGTGAGTTTTTTCTTCTTTGCTCTTGTATTATTATTTCTTAATTTCTTAATGCCATTAGCCATTTCACATTATCACGCTAAGTATAAGTCTAATTATATGTCTTTTGTAGAGGATGATGATTAGTATATGTTGGAATTTACCCGGTCAATTTGGAGGTCAACTGTTAAGTCAACGGTGTCATTGTACAAGGCCCTCCACTACAATAGGAATAGTACATTGTACACACATTAAAATATGATTAAGATTGATTTTGGTCCCATAGTAATATATTGTTTCAATTCATATATGGCTTGTTTATTAGGTATCATTTTGGGCTTATCAAGTTTAGACTTTTGATTAATTGATCTCATAACCACACAATTTTCTATACATGATAAAAAAGAAGAGAACATTGCAAGTCCACGAGCACAAAAGCTTCTTAGTAACACTTCGAATTCCAACCCCAGTTGATGTTGAAAAAAAAAATAAAAAAAAATCTAACCCCACTCATAATTTCTCTTCTAAAAAATCTTTTAAGTAATTTAAGTGAGCGACTGTGGATATGCAACATGTAACTAACTGGATATATATCAATTTAATTCTATTGCATTCAAATATTTTATTCTTTTTATAGAAGTAATGATCAATTGTAATGTGATATTATGAGGAGTTGAAATTTGATAAAAACAAATTGTATCAATGACTAATTTTAATTTAAAAATTATATTGAAAATCCAATTAATTTTTTCTACTTATTTTTCTTTTTTTTTTTTTAAAGTATTTGAAAATCTTTCAAGAAGTCGGAAAATAATCCCAGATCTCATGTAAGTGATCATTATTTACTACACATTTGCCCTGACTGAAAAATAATCTTGCATCCATCGCTGACAGGTGCGGCTTCCCTCCGAAATATGTCGTGTTCTCGTGTCTCTATGTTCTCTGTCTTGTTTTTTTCCTTCGCAAAATATTCTCCCCGCATGGCGCCTCCCTAGCCTGCGTGAAATATGACTTAGGTATTGTCCCCAAAACTATGTATCTGTATCAGTTCACCTCTAAAGCCTTCTCTTGGTTTAATAAATAAAGTGGGCCTCGCAAAGAAACCAATGATTGTCCGACTTGCTAACTCTCGATTGTTTCAATAGAAATCAATCACTAACAGATTGATTGTCTTATGAATATTCATAAGACAATCAATTTGTTAGAGGTTATTATGAAATAATATTTAGTACTATTATGTTAGAAGTTAGAAATTATTATGGTATAGATTAATACTATTATAAATTAGAATTTATTACTATTTTGTTAGAACGCTTTTCCTACTATAATATTCAAACGAATCATATAACTATGAGAAAAGTGTCAAACAATCTCTTGTCATAAAATTCGGTCAAATCATACTGAATTAATCGGTCTCAATGAATTGCTCTAACAGAATCCGATTTTTTTCTTTCAATTTGTTATTTAAATTGGTATTTATGAATTTCAAATTTAAGTCAAAATTTTATTTTGTATTTTAAAATTTATTGCCGAATATAATTAGTTATAATTTATAACTTAACAACTTCTAAATTCTAACTATGAGATATTAAATTCTAATTTATAACATAAATCTAAATTCTAATATAATGTATATAATTAAAAATTTGATTTTTCTTAAAAAAA